CTGCTGCTGCTGCTGCTGCTGCTGCTGCTGTCCTTGTTCTTGCTGCTGCTGCTGCTGTCCTTGTTCTTGCTGCTGCTGCTGCTGCTGTCCTTGTTCTTGCTGCTGCTGCTGCTGTCCTTGTTCTTGCTGCTGCTGCTGCTGTCCTTCTTGCTGCTGCTATCCTTGTTCTTGCTGCTGCTGCCCTTGTTCTTGTTGCTGTTGCCGCTGCTGGCTTAGCACAGTGGGAAGGCAGCAGTGGCTGCAGGTGTGTTAGGCGCAAGCAGCAGCAGCAGCAGCAGCAGCAGCAGCAGCAGCAGCAGCAGCAGAGCTTTCCCGCTGCTGCTTTTTTCCACAAACGACACACCAGCAAATTGAATTTTATTTTTGAATGTGCATTAATTAAAACTGAATCAAGTCCGGGTTTTTGAGCCCAGAAAGTCCGCAAGAGAGAACTGCTTTGCTGCAGTCGCTGGGGCTTTGCTGCAGCAGCTGGGACGTTGCTGCAGCAGCTGGGGCTTTGCTGCAGCAGCTGGGGCTTTTCTGCATTAGCTGTGGCTTTGCTGCAGCAGCTGGGACGTTGCTGCAGCAGTTGGGGCGTTGCTGCAGCAGCAGGGGCTTTGCTGCAGCAGCAGGGGCTTTGCTGCAGCAGCAGGGGCTTTGCTGCAGCAGCTGTGTGTCTGCTGTTTGCTGCAGCAGCTGAGGCTTTGCTGCAGCAGCTGTGTGTCTGCTGTTTGCTGCAGCAGCTGAGGCCTTGCTGCAGCAGCTGTGTCTGTGCTGTTTGCTGCAGCAGCCGAGGCTTTGCTGCAGCAGCTGAGGCTTTGCTGCAGCAGCTGAGGCTTTGCTGCAGCAGCTGTGTCTGCTGTTTGCTGCAGCAGCTTCTCCAGCGCGGGCCAAAGAAGAAAGCAAAAAGCAGCAGCAGCAAAGAGAAGTGGAAAAAAAAGAAGCTCGAAAATTTGCACTGAGACAAAGATGGGCGGATTTGCAAAGACTGGCCAGAAGCACTCATTTCGGGTCCAACTTCTTTTTCTTTTTTTTATTTTAATCCATTTGTTTCTCTTTTTTTAATTTTATTCCATTTGTTTTTCTTTTTTTAATCCATTTGTTTTTCTTTTTTTAATTTTAATCCATTTATTCCTTTTTTCCAGTTAAACGACCACAAGTGCACTTCTGCTGCAGCAGCAGCAGCAGCTGCTGCTGCTGCAGCAGCAGCTGCTGCTGCTGCTGCTGCTTTTGAATGCATTTATGCAAGGACTTGAGCTCAATTTTGTTTTCTGAAACTGCTTTGAACTAAACTTCTTCTCGAAGTTCCTTTTTATTTTTTAATTTATTTATCTTCTCTTTTATGAATCCCTTTTTGTTTTTTAATTTATTGTTCTTCTCTTGTTTACGAATTCCCCTTTGATGCAATTTATTGATCTTCTCTTTTTATTATTTCTTTTTTATTTCAATTTATTGGTCTTTTCATTTTTCTGAATTTCTCATAATATCAATTTGCTGATCTTCTCTCTAAATTTCCCTTTATTTCGATTAATTTGCCTTTTCTTTTTCTATTTTTTGCATTTTCCACTTTTTCACTTTATGTGCTGCTGCTGCTGCTGCTGCTGCTGCTGCTGCTGCTGCTGCTGCAGGCCTCGCTTCCACCACCCCAGCAGAGAAGAACATGCAAAGGCTCACCGCTTCAGCGCGAGGGGTTTTTCTTTCAGCAGATTTGTGCGTCATTAGGGTTTAGGGTTTAGGGTTTAGGGTTTAGGGTTTAGGGTTTAGGGTTTGGGAGTTTGCGTTTTGGGCAAGAATGGCTGCATTTGTTGCTGCATGCAGCAACTTGGGGCTTTGAACAGCAGCTTTATTTCCCTCCGCATTTGCGGGTCTGTTTCGAAAAGAAAAACAAATTCTGTTTTCTCATTTTGAATTCCCTTTCGCTGCTGCTGCTGCTGCTGCTGCTGCTGCTGCTGCTGCTGCTGCAGGATGTGGTGTACGTACGCCCCCCCCAGGAGCTGCAGGGCCGCCACCGCGAAGCTGTCGAAGAATATTTAAAACAACTTCCGCGCATGCACCAGTTGTTGGCGGAGCCCCACAAGTTGGTGGGGCTTGTTTGGGGCTTTGGTGGGGTTGTTGTTGCTGCGGCGCATGCATGCATGCATGCATGCATGCATGCGCATGCATGCATGCATGCGTGCATGCATGCGCATGCATGCATGCGCGTGCATGCATGCGCGTGCATGCATGCATGTGCGTTGCATGCGGGGCGCGTTTCGCCGTTTCTGGGGGAGTTTGGGGCTGTTTGCATGCGTTTTTGCATGCGTTTTTTTGCGTTTATATTCTTTTTTTCTTTTTATTATTTTTAGGCCCTCGCTGCGAAATATGGACTCGTGAAAGTCACCGAAAGCCCCGATCTGGCGGCCCCCCCCGAGATCCAGCGGCAGGCAAACCCCTGGCAGCAAGCAGCAGCAGCAGACCACTGGTCCGAGTTGCATGCAGCCTTTGGCTACTCCCCGTGGGACCTGCTGGCCTCCAAAGAAAGCTGCAACTTCATTCCCAAGGACTTGGCGGAAAAACTGGAAAAGAAACGAAAAGAAGAAGCTGCCAAAGTTCTCCAAAGTCCACAAACTCCCAAACGCAGAGATGCAGCAGCAGCAGCAGCAGCAGCAGCAGCAGCAGCGTCCACAGACGCTGCTGCTACCCCCAAGAGGGCCGCAGCGGAGGCGCGAGCCAAGTTCAGCAGCAGCAGCAGCAGCAGCAGCAGCAGCAGCAGCAGCAGCGTAGCTGTGGGAGAAGCAAAGACTCCAGTGAGGACATTGAACAGAGGCTCGAGTTCTTCTTTTCGGGAAGCAGCCAGCAGCTGCAGCAGCCCCACAAGAACTCCGCTTTCTAGCAGCAGACTGCAGCAGCAAAGTTCGCGAAAGTTTTCGGAAAATAATTTAAGTGACGGGAAGCAGCAGCAGCAGCAGCAGCAGCAGCAGCAGCAGCAGCAGCAGCAAGTTGCGGGGGCGCGAGCTGTCGATACACCCCAAGTGCAGGCGTCTCGCGAGGAAATCACTTTTTTAAATTTGCAAAAAAGAAAAGATGAAACAAAAGACAATGAGCAGCAGTCTCAGGAGAAAGAACCACCCGCTCCTGCTGCTGCTGCAGCTCCTGCTGCTGCTGCTGCTGCAGCTCCTGCTGCTGCTGCTGCTGCAGCTCCTGCTGCTGAACCACTAGCTGCTGCTGGCCGAGACCCTGCTGCTGCGTCAGCTGCCGCTGCTGCAGCGGCGGCTGCTGCTGCGCCAACCGGTGTGGCTGCTGCTGCTGCTGCTGCTGCTGCTGCTCCGTTAGCTTCTTCTACCCCGCCAGTTGCTGCTGCAGTTGCTGCTGCTCAGCCAATTGCTGCTCCAGCAGCTCCTGCCTCCTCGTCTGATGCAGCAGCTTCCGATTCGGTATCTGCTTCTGCTGCACCGTCATCAGCTGCTGCAGCCACGTCCGCTGCTGCTGCAGATGCTGCAGCAGCAGCTGCTGCTGCTGCTGCAGATGCTGCTGCAGCAGCAGCAGCTGCTGCAGCAGCTCCAAAACAGTCAAATGTCTCAGAAAGTGAAGTTGCCACAGCAGCTCAAAGCTCCACAGACACCTCAGCGGTAGCCACCCCTGAGTCGCCAGTGGATACAAAATTACAGCAGCAGCAGCAGCAGCAGCAAGAGCAGCAGCAGCAACAACATGAGCAGCAGCAGCAGCAGGAACAGGAGCAGCAGCAGCAGCAACGGGAGCAGCAGCAGGAGCAGCAGGAGCCGAAGCGCGTTTCGAGCAGCCGCAATTACAATGCTGGGGGCCCTCGGCAAATGAAGCTGACGGAACTTTTTCGATTTACTTTCAACAAAATAAAAAACAAGAAGAATATTTCAATGTCTCCTTTGATTTACAAGTTTGCTGCTGCTGCTGCTGCTGCAGCAGCAGAAGACGAAGAGTCTGAAGAAGAAATAAAACCGACAAAAAACAGAAAAAGAAAACTCATTGATGACGACGCACCACCAGCAGCAGCAGCAGCAGCAGCAGCAGCAGCAGAGCTGCCGGAAGTGCAGCAGCCTCCCGGAGCTGCTGCTGCAGCCAGCGAAGCAGCTGACGCAGCAGCAGCAGCAGCAGCAGCAGCAGCAGAAGCTCCTACTGGGCCCGAAGCCGCTCCGGAAGAAGCCCCAGCTGCTGCTGCTGCTGCTGCTGCTGCTGCTGCTTCTGAAGCAGCTCTGCTGGAGGAGAAAAGGCGGCGGAAGGAACTTCGCAAAAAGCAAAAAGCAGAAGAATTGAAAAGACAAAAAAGATTAGAAAGGAAAAAGTCCGAGTTGCACTCAGCCCCTAGACTCCCACGCACAAGCTGCATGCGCATGCATTCGCATGCAAATGCATGCGCGCATACGCATGCATGCAAATGCATGCGCAAGCACTTGCATGCACACATCTGCATGCATGCATGCATGCTTGCATGCATGCATGCATGCTTGCATGCATGCACTTGCATGCATGCCCACTTGCATGCATGCCCACTTGCATGCATGCCCACTTGCATGCATGCACACAAATGCATGCATGCCCACTTGCATGCATGCATGCATGCATGCATGCACGCCTGCATGCATGCCCACTTGCATGCATGCCCACTTGCATGCATGCATGCATGCATGCATGCATGCACTTGCATGCACTTGCATGCATGCATGCATGGGGAGGGTGCGTTTGTGTGTGCGAAGGCGCATGCGGGAAGTGGTGCGGCAAATGGTGGAGTGCGAGGCGGAGGAAAACGACGAAGAACTCCGCGAAGACGAAGAGTACGCGGCGGCGCTGCGGGAGTTGAAGAAAAGACTGGCGAGAGAAGAAGAAGAAGAAGAAGAAGAAGAGGAAGACAGGCGAGGACTCGGAGTTTATTTTGATGTTGAATAGTTTATCTTTTATGTTTCTTTTCATGTTGAATACTTTATCTTCTAAGTTCTTTTCAAGTTGAATACTTTCTGTTCTAAGTTTATTTCAAGTTGAATAGTTTCTCTTTTATGTTTCTTTTCTGCAAAGTTTCGTTTTAAAGTTGAATAGTTTCTCTTTTAAGTTTCTTTTCATGTTGAATACTTTATCTTCTAAGTTTCTTTTCAAGTTGAACACTTTCACTTCAAAGTTCTTTTGATGTTGAATACTTTCTCTTTTAAGTTTCTTTTCAAGTTGAATACTTTCTCTTTTAAGTTTCTTTTCAAGTTGAATACTTTCACTTCTAAGTTTCTTTCAAGTTGAATACTTTCACTTCTAAGTTTATTTTCAAGTTGAATACTTTCACTTCTAAGTTCTTTTCAAGTTGAATACTTTCACTTCTAAGTTTATTTTCATGTTTGAATGCTTTCTCTTCTAAGTCTTGCAAAGTTTCTTTTTAAATTTGAACACTTTCACTTCAAAGTTTCTTTTCAAGTTGAACACTTTCTTTTCCAAGTTTGTTTTCATGTTGAATACTTTCGCTTCTAAGTTTCTTTTCAAGTTGAGAACACTTTCGCTTCTAAATTTCTTTTCAAGTTGAATACTTTCTCTTTTAAGTTTCTTTTCAAGTTGAATACTTTCGCTTCTAAGTTTCTTTTCAAGTTTGGGCACATTCACTTCTAAGTTCTTTGCAAGTTGAACACTTTCGCTTCTAAGTTTCTTTCAAGTTGAATACTTTCTCTTCTAAGTTTCTTTTCAAGTTTGAACACTTTCACTTTCAAGTTTCTTTTCAAGTTTAAACACTTTCCACTTCACAGTTTCTTTTCAAGTTTAAACACTTTCACTTCAAAGTTTCTTTTTAAATTTGAACACTTTCCACTTCAAAGGTTCTTCTCAAGTTTAAACACTTTCCACTTCCAAGTCTTTGCAAAGTTTTTTTTTTTAATTTAACCACTCTCCACTTGCAAGTCTCTGCAGAGTTTCCTCTTTGGTGCATTTTTGCGAAAGTGGTTCTCGCGGCTTTGTTCCAAGGCCTTGGATCGGGTCTTATTCCTGGACTTGTACAGGATTGTTTTTTGTGAATTTGTAGCTGCACAATTTATTTATTTATTTATTTATTTATTTATTTATTTATTTATTTATTTATTTGTTTATTTGTTTATTTATTTGTATAAATGCATGTTGCTGTTGTTGTTGTGGTCTCTGTGAAAAAGTTGATTCGTATTGAACAAAGTTCGCGGCCACAAGCAAAAAGACTTGCCAAAAGGACTTGTGCTGATGCGAGCGTAGAAGCCATACAATAAAATAGAAACGCATGCAGACGGATTGGGTTTGTGTGCAACAATGCATGCATGCATGCATGCATGCATGCATTGTGTGCAACGATGCATGCATGCATGCATGCAAGCCTGCATGCATGCATATGTGTTCACCTGCATAAGTAAAAAGGCACGCGCAATGCACATATGTGTATTTTGATGTATGAGTTGCAAAAGCACGCATGCATATATATATATACATGTACATCTATATATATACACATATATATGTATATATATATACACACATATATATGTGTATATATATATATATACATATATATATGTATATATATATATGTATACATATATATGTGTATATATATATATAACGCACATGTATATATGTACACATCTGCGAATATGTAGATGTGAATTTACGCATTTGTTTGGAGAGTTGTGTGGCAATCTCTTGTACAGCGAGGCGGACTTTCTTGAAGATCTGATTGCAGCACCGGAAGATGTGGACTTCGACGAGAGAAACGAAGACCGGCCGGCGATGAAGATGAAGCTGCAAAAAGACTCGGGAGAAAGAGAAGAAGAAGTTTACGAGAGGTTCATTGGAAGTGAGAAAAGAGAAAAGATGAACTGAAGAGTTTTCAGAATTCAACTTCGATGGAAAGCTTTGCACAAGCTGGGGGTGCCTCTGCGTGTGCAACCATACGAGCACTTCTCTACTTTTGTCTCAGTCCTTTTAAAGTTCCCTGTGCATTTGTATTTAATAAATATACATATATTCAATTCCGTGCATTTATATTTAATAAATATACATATATTCAATTCCGCAAGTGTTCATGCATACGCTTTTTTCATGCATGCGCATTTGTATATGCATGCACATTCCTGCTTTTTGGCGAAAACTCGCGGGAAAACATAAATGTTTCTTTATTTATCTTTTCTTGTTTAATTTCAAAGGATACCACCGAGGCGGAGACAAAGAAGGCCAAGAACTGACAGAACAGGAAATGCTGGAGCTCGAGCTCGAGGAGCGGCGCCGGCAAATTGCGAAAAGAAGAAAATTGTTCGGAGATGGCGAGTTTGCGGTGCGTTTGAATTGAAAATATGCCTCTTGTGTTTATTTTGTTTTTTTAAAATATATGTATACATGAATTTCTTCTTTTATCCATTCATTTATTCATTTACTAAGGATCTGCAGCATCCATCCGCACAGGCTCACACTGTGTTTCGCTGAAACCCGCAGGGGATGGACATAGATGACTGGCTTTCCGAAAGCGACGAGTCGGACTCGAATTCCGAAACTGAAAAAGAAGAAGTTTCCGAAACTCCGGCAGAGGAAATTGTCCGGTGGTCGACAATAGCACTAACAGAAGAAAGGGCTGATGTTTCGGGAGGAGGCGCCGCAGCAGCCAGCCGAAACCCCGCAGATCTTGTTGCAAGATGCATGGAGAATGCATCTCGCCGCCAAAAGATACAAGTTTTGCGCCCTTTGCCGGCAAAAGAATTCAAGAAAATGGACACAACTTGTGCAAAGATTAGAAGTGAAGCTCATGCGAGTGGCGGCAGGCACTTCAAGGAAGTTGTCGAAGTCGAAGGACCGCAGGAGCATTCGACGGAAGCTCAGAGCGAAAAGGCAGTGGAAAGCTTGGAAAGCGACGAAGACGAAATGGAAAACTTGTACAAAAAAGCAACTCTAGCCAAAGCCAAGCCCGCGGAGCTTCTCCGCAACAAACACAATCAGAACTGCCCGCCTGCGCAGTGCATTCGTTTCTCGCCGAGCTTCCGCCGCGACTTGGAGCTCTCCGGCAGCAGCAGGTAACAATTCAATAAAAGAGCCTACTGGCTGAAAAAAGTGGCTAAGACAAGCAAGACTTCGTGTCAAGATTCAGATCCGCTGCTTTCCAAGACAGTGCTGACTCTGTGTTAGGGCTGCAGCGGCCTCAGGCTGAATAGATGAAGTCTGCAGCCTTTTGGCTCTACTGTTTCTTTGCTGCAGTCGAAATGTAGTGCCAGTCTTTGAGGGCTTCCGTTCTCGACCTGTTCCCAAGCCGAAGACAATAAGCCCGCAAGAGTTGCATGGTGCCGCGGCTTCGCGGAAAGCCAGTGAGACAAATTCTTCACCAAGTTTTGAATTCCCCGGCTGTGCTGCAGCACTTTTGTACACAAGTTATTCGGGGTAAGTTATTTGGTGATCTTTTTTGTTTTGCTCCATTCTGTTGTTCCAGGTTCTGGGTTTTCGGGGCTGCTGACGCGGTCCGTGAACCTCTCTGGCGAAAAGCAGCGGAAACCGAAGTCTAAATGAAGCTTTACAAACCTCATTGGAATGTAGAGACACTCCTTTTGATTAAGCAAAATAAATACTTAGGAATACAACGCCGCAACTCCCCACTTCCAACTGACTGCAGCCGCATGTGGCTCTGCGGAAGCTCCGCGCAACTTTTTGCAGACAATTTGGGAAACAAGCTTTCCACCCTATATTTTGTTCAGGTCAAATCAAAATGCAGTTGCAGCTAAGAAATAGCATTTGCAGCTAAGAAGTAGCAGTTGCTGCGTCCCAGAAGCAGTGCCATGTGTCCTAGCGCACTGCAAATGGCCCAGTGGGAATACTTGAAACTTAATGTTGAACTAAGCCGTGCCTGCTTCTGATACTGCAGAATGCTGCGAGAATACTGCAACAGGACTTGTGCAAGTCAGCACAAACAAACGGAAAGAGTTTGTTTCCAAGTTCTTGCTTTGCAAGTTCCCATACACAGCTCTTAGCAAGGGCTCAACGCAAGCACGCCGAATCTGTGCACAGGCGGCAACTGCGCGGCCCAAACGAAGAGGCATTTAAAAAGGAAGCAAAAACAATGAACGAGGTCAAGCTGGCACTGCACGGGAGCGATGGTGAACATTTGAATCTGCAGAAACAACTGCTGCCTCCGCGCCCCGGGCCAGCTCAGTGTACTTCTTGGCTCCAGCTTGGCTGAAAGGAGAAAAGGGGTTTTCGACAACGTACAAATAAGTGGCGACGAGGACAAGAAGGGTGCCGATGCAGAAGAGGGGGGAGGGGAAGAAGTCGCCCACAATCCACCACGACATCAAACAGGAAAACACAATCGACATGGCGTTTCCGAAGCACTTCAGAATGTTGTCTGCGTATTTCAACACAGCAGCCACCACCAGGCCGCCCAGAGCCTGCAGCAAAATCGCAGCCACCGTCATTCCGCTGTATCCCTGGAAGAACCCGTTTCGCCTGATCGCCTCGCCGTCGTTCCAGAAAGCCCCCACGAGCCCCGCAGTGACTCCGTAAATGGCGAGCTGCATGTTGTTGACCCAAATGGTTGCAGTTTTTTGCTTCAGCAGCTTCTCCAGATAGACCCCGGCCAGACCACTGGTCAGGCAGGCGCAGAGCACCGCAACTAGCCCGATGAAGGGGCTCTGCGGGGAGCCCATTGCTGCCTTGGGTCGCTCGGATGATCCGGGATATTGAATGAGGCTGACGCCTGCAAATAAGAGAAAAAGAGCTGACCAGCGCAGCACTGAAAGCCTTCTTCCCAGGATCAGCACTGAGAGCAGAGCCGTGGTCAGGATCTTGAGCTGATACGTCACTTGGTACATTGCTCCCGAGAGGTTCGAAAGCGCTATGAAGATCAGGTTGTTCTGAAGGGCATAGAGCAGCCCCGGGACTCCAACTTTCGCCATTTCCACCGGATTTCCGATGATGTCGCGGTGGACTGCTGCCAGAGTCTGGCGCAGGCTCATGTTCTGTTCGTACCAGACCAGCGGAATGGAGGTGAGGAGCTTCACCACCTCGGCCGACACAACTGCTGTCGTCGCGAGGTAGGGGGGCCCCTCGGGGGCCCACTTTGTGGATCTTGAAAGCCTCAACACGCTGACGGAGGCCACAGTCTGTCCGACCAAAGCCAGCAGCGCCACCCACCGCATGGGCACGCCCAGGAAAGTGGGATTCCCACAAGACTTCGAAGAAGTCATTTTGGGTCGTTTCTCGCTGCTGCTGGAGCTCCCGATCTGGAAACAACGCCTAAAGCCGCTGCCACGCGTGCTGCTGTGCACACACGCCCTAAAAAGGCACTACGGCGTCGAACAAATCAATCAAAACGCGCATTGGACTCAGGCGTGACGCAGTACTGGGGCTGAGCCGAAACACTGACGCCTGCCGGGGCTCTGTGCCCCAGGGCTACACACAGCGAGCCTACACGAGGCTGCACGAGCCCCCAATTATAAAGAAATACAAAAGTGGAAAAGAGGGGAAATTGTTAGTACTTTTTTGCTGCGCGTTGCTCGGAAGCAGCAGCAGCAGGGTCCGGCCCCAGCCGCCACTGGGCTGGTACCGCTGCTGAGAGCTGCAGTTGAATCGGCGGGTCCGTCGGCAGTTCGCAGTTCGACAAATTGCGGATTACTTCGACAAATTGCGGATTATTTGTTGCATTTAGTTCATCTTTTGCTTTCAGAAACGAACTGCAAAGGCCTGAATGTTCAACAATGCTTGGCTCTTCGCTGCTCCAGCGCATGCAGCCCATCCGGCTTGCCCGCGCTTTCCTTTCCCCGCAAATTCCCAGCAGCAGCCCCAGATGCTTCAGCACTGAAGGCGGAAGGCTTTTGAATCCCAACCCGAGGCCCACGCAGTACCAAACAGTGATAGTTAATGAAGTAGTAAACCCCCCCCCCGGGAAGCCCTTCAGCTTCACGCCCTACTTGGTGGGCTTGGGGGTGTTCATGTTCGTCTTCCCCTGCGTGCAGACCACCGTGGAGCTGCGCAAGTACTACAAAGAGGTGAAACGCGAACTCGAGTGACCACTGGTCTCTCAGTTTGCTGCTGCTGTCTGGCGCTGTGCAAAGCCTGCTGCTGCTGCTGCTGCTGCTGCTGCTGCAGCACGAGGGCTCTTCAGCTCTCTTCTAAGAGAAAGCACAACTTTCAGACTCTGCGCTTTCTACTGCAGCAGCACTGGCCGCAGTCTGGCTATTAGGAGGTGTCAGTTTCCTCCAAACTTGTCAAAGTGCAGTTTATTTGCATTTTTCTACCCTTAATGGCACTTTCAATTGAATATAATTGAATATAATTTGAATAGTGATGGCCCTTTGCTGCATCTGTTTTGCTGCACTCGTTGTGGCTGTTGCGTGTCTGCTGTACAGACAGAGCACCTGTACCGCGACGGCTGGAACAGACACCACTACGACAAGATGAAGGACCAGTACTTGTCTTAGTCTTATTCCGAAGTTTCGAAAGAAGCAAATCTATTTTGCTTCCATTGAAGAAGTTGGCCGTCGATCTTGCAGTTTCGCGCAGCCCCCGAAAGCCAACGAACACTCTGAATTAGTGCAAGTCGAAGCAACGAAAAAGTGATCAAAAGTCTTTTTTTTATCGAGGGGGAACCTCTCGTCAAGTGTATCTACAGCTGGCGCAGCTGCTGCTGCTGCAGCAGCCCCGTGCTGCTGCAGCAGGCCCGTGCTGCTGCAGCAGGCCCGTGCTGCTGCAGCAGGCCCGTGCTGCTGCAGCAGGCCCGTGCTGCTGCTTCGCGAGTGGGGTGCTGCTGTAGGTACAGTGCAGCAGCGCGGGGCGGGGCGGCAGGGGCGAAGCGGAGGCTGTAAGAAGTGTGAATTTGCTGCAGTGGATTTAGTTCAGAGGTGTTTGCATGCATCGCGTTTTAGGCAGTTCCCGAGCTGCTGCTGCTGCTGCTGCTGCTGCTGCTGCTGCTGCTCGAGGCTGCAGACGCCACTACGAACACGAAAGAACGAATATAGCCGCCGCTGGACTCGGACTTGATTCCATTCATTTCGCTGCCTGCGAACTTGGGTTTTGCGTCGGAGGCAAACAACTCAACTTCTCCGCCTTCGTTAGTCTGCACAGCCCAGCTCAGCCTCTGAGCAACTTGAATGTTAGCGAAGTTTCTCACCAGAGCTCCTGCATGCATAGCCGCCCGACAAACAGAAGAAATAGGACTGTAGAAACCTGCAAAGAAGTCACCAAAAGATAAAAGTGGCAGCTTTCCAGCCAAGTGCTGCAGCTTACCGCTTCCGTACACCTGGGCGCTGCTGCTGACACCGCAGCCAGCGGGGCACAGAACGAGTTCGCGTTCGCCCAGGCCCAACTTCAGTGTGAAGATTCCGTTTGCGTCGCATGCAAGAGTTTGAAAAAGAGGAGCAACTTCGACGGAAAACGAGCGGAGTTCCGGGTTTCTGCTCGGCGTGCTGTTGATGCCTGAAGAGCTTTGCGCGTGAACTCGGGTGTACGTACACTGCAAACAGCAGCCACTGCAGGCGCGGCCGCAGGCGCTTTCGTTCGAAAGCAAACAACTTATGTAGTTTTATTTGAACACTCGTAACAGTGCAAGTCACTACAGCCTCTCTGCATGCTTTCTGCGTAGATCTGCACCCACCGAAATGCCCCTGCGAAGCGTCGTAGGACGCACGCCCTGCTGCCAGCGTCACCAGCAAGTTTCCGCCTTCTTTTGGCACAGCCCCTGCATGCAGCCCCGCCTTGCAAACTGAGCTTTTCGAAGTATAATATCTGCAGCCTTCGAGCGGTGCGCCCGCCTGGAGGCAGTCTGGGGGGCAGTGGGCTAAGACTTTCTGCCCGATGTGGCCGTTGAACTCGGGACGGCGGAGGGAGTCGGAGCAGGCGAGGTACACTGCATGCTTGGCTGGGGTTGCTGCAGCAGCAGCAGCAGCAGCAGCAGCAGCAGCCCACGCAGGCCGCTGCGGGGAGCAGGCAGAAAGGCACAGTCTGCCGTCATCTGTCCTTCTGCTTTCGCTGGGCACTTGTGGGATGTGAGCCGCGAGCGCCTCGGCGCTGAAGGCCTTCTGTATTGTGGCAATTGGAACTTCTTGGTTGAAAACTTTAACTCCCAAAATATCTCCTTCAAAATAGTCCGCTTCGGCCGCACTGGCGCGCCCAATAATCATCCGGCCCTGCAGCAGAGTGAGCTCCGCGGGCTGCGCTGTTGGGGTGTATGGACAGCTCACCCTCAAGTTGATTTCGAAGTCGGCTTTCTCGGATGCCACGGACTTCCCGTTCACAAAAAGACTAATTAGGCGCTTCGCGGTGGAGAACGTGGCGGCGGCGTCGAATCTTTCTGAATTTTCGTTTGCTTTCCAGTTGCTGCTGCTGCTGCTGCTGCTGCAGTTGCTGCTCACCGCCCAGCTTCGGCTTGAAGCCGCTCTTGACTTGGTAGGGGTGGCAAGTCCGTTCGAAGAGCAGCTCGTCGTTCGGATCGACAACAAGAGAGAATCCTTCGCAGTCACTGTGGGCCAGCAGCGTCCGCCACTGCCCCAGCCCGCCTGGGACTCAGTGAAAAAAAAAAAATTTTTTTTTTTTTGCAACTACTTGCCTGTGACTGCTGCGCGGACTGCCACGGTGAAGTCCCTCAGGCTGGAGGCCTGGCCGCCCTCCGCGAGGCTCGAGACGTCCACGAAGTCCGAGGGCTTTCCGTGGAAACCTGAAGAGTTTGTGCAAGTGCAGCAGCGGGAAGAGCCGGTGGGGGGCACCTCTGAAGCCGTCGGGCGGAAACCAGTGGAAGATGTCTTCGGGCTGAGACGCTGGAGTTGCGTGCAGTTCCACCAAGCGGCTGTAGGGCCCTGCAGAGTTCTTTGCTGTTGGCAGTTTCGTTCAAAAGAATGGAAAAGAGGCATTTCTTGTTCAGAAAAGTTCCAAGACTCACTGCTGACGGACGGCTGGCCTCCCGCACTGAGAGCCCGCGAGTTGCTGCTTCCTGCAGCAAGTCCTTTGTAAGAAACCCAGTCGCTGTGCAGCGCTGTGTTGGCTCTTCGCAGAGTTGTTGAGCCCCTGCGTTTGGGGGGCCCTCTTTGCTGCAGGAAATTTCCGCGCGGGCTGGGGGGCCCCACTGGCGTGGCAGCAGCAGCAGCACTCTGCGTTGCTGCAGCTTGCTGCTGCACTTGAGCGCCGGCAGCAGCTGCCGGTGGCTTTCCCGCAGCTTCGCCAGCAGCAGCTGCAGGCGCAGCAGCTGCAGCGCCAGACGGAGAAGCAGCAGGTGCTGCAGCAGAAGCTGCTGCAGCAGGCACGGCAGCTGCTGCAGCGCCCCCACTTGGCTGCTGCGCACTCGTGGCTGCTGCAGCAGCAGCCGCTGTTTGCGAAGGCGTGGCTGGCTGCTGGGGGGCCCCTGGACTTGATGCTGTCTGAAGCAGTGGGGGCCCCCGACTTGTGATCAAGAGGCTGTGGAGGGAGTGGTCCACTCGCGCAGTGGTGACTGCGGAGTAGTTCAAGTCCCATTCAAATTCAAACATAAGAACTGGAGATCTTGCAAAAGTTCGCCTACAAGACTGGGGGTAGGGGCCGCTTTCTTCGCTGTGAAGGCCGTGGCTTTCGAAACTGGAAAAGTGGTGTTGGGCGTGGCCAACGACCAGCAGGCACTCGCCGCCGTCCTTCGTGAGGGTGCCGCTGTGAAGAGCCGCTCGACAGACCTGACAGAAAAATTCAAGTTTTCAAGTTTTCGAGTTTTCACTTTTTGTTCTTCAGGAATGCGCCAGTAGAGGGCCTACAGCAGAGCTGGCTGTGTATATAAAAGCCCCCTTCAACTCTCCTCCCGCGGACCTGAGCCAGTCACTCTTGGGAGCCTTCGGGCTCGCTGGGAAGCCACGCCACCTACTCGCAGCTGGGGGGGCACACTACTAGCCGCATGGTTCCCGGGGGCCCCGCCAGGCCTCCTTTGGTCTCGAGAGTGTCAAAGCAAGTGAGGTGGACTCGAGACAGAAACCTCTTCTTTTGAACTACAGCTTCTTCCTTGTGAAAAGCTCCAACGCCGGAGGGGTCGCCATCCCCCTCGCACGCAATCACCACGTCTTCGTCGTGCACGCAATAAATGTCATCGCCCACGGCGTGGGGGCACTGATTCAGAAAAGCCTCTCTGCCTGCATTTGAAATTCAAAAGCAAACGTCCGAAACTGTCGAGTCTGTGCAAAGCAAACCTGTGCACGCAAAGTTGACGGCGGCAATTTTTTCCTGTTCCGTCCCGCAGTAGTTTTGCCCCATAATGCTCGTGCAGCTTTCGTTGCCTGGCCCCTTATCCTTAAACCAGAATGCAATGCTGCTTTTGGTCACAGTACGATTCCTTAGCCTACCTTGACATTGCTGTATCCCATCTGGCGACAAGCAACTTGCTCAGACTGCAAAGACCAGCCGTCTGAACAAACACTGCCGAAACCTGGGGCAAGTATTTCAAGTTGTTCTCGCAAAGCAAGAGCTCTTCGACAAAGAAAAACGAACCGTTGTCGTAAAACTGAAGTCGTCCTATGCCCGACTGTGCAGGTGTGCCGGAGGGACCAACAATGCGGATTGTGCCTGCCTCTGGCGCCACACCAGAAAGCCTGTTTGTGCATTTCACAACAACGTCCTCGTCGTGCTTCAAACATGTTGCTGTAGGAGGCTCCGCTGGGCAGTCGGCTAGCACTGCCTCGTTCCCTTTGCACTAAAACCGACGCATGCGTTGTGGTTGCCTTGAACGGAAGCTAGCGACTGGTCTTACACTAATGCCTGAAAATCATTATGAATTCTCGGTCTCACCACTGGTTTTATGAATGAAAGAGCATACCTGTGGATGCCACGGGGTAACCCTTATCTGCGCACAAGTCCGCCCCCTCCACGTCTTTGCAGCCTTCTACTAGTTGAACACCCGTTTTGAACCCTGAGGGAGGCACTCGTGCTCAATTCATACTGCATTGTGGCAAACAGTGGAGATTACCGAATTCTTGGCAAGCTTTCACTGCTGACTGCGGCGCAAATGTGAGGTAGTCGCCTTTGTTGCTGAAAGTTGCTGTTGTTGGCGCTGCTGCAGATGACTTTGAAAATGCTTTCTCACCAAACACTTCCCCAAACTTCGCCAGTCTTCACTTCCAGCCGCCCAACAGACGACAGTTTGCCATATTCTGATTTCCAATTGCAAGTTGCCGTTCATGTTTTTGGAACGACAACGAAGCTGCTCACCGTCAACGACGCGAACCGACGTCTCGATGAGATCGATAGAATCTGAAAAAACTTGCAAAAAATTTCCAAGTCGCGTTTTTTCAAGAGTGTCACTCACCGACGAGGTACATGTGGAAACTGTACTGCTTTCTGTCCACGGAGTACGCGAAGTCCACCGAGTCAATGCCTGCAGCCAGGAAACCCGAATTCCGAATTCCGCGAGAGTGCTTCCAATTAGTGCAAGTCTACCGTTGTAAGCAGTTCCAGTGTACTGGTCCACTGGTCCAACTGCAGTCAACACGAGATCGCCGCCAGAAGGAGTCAGCAAGCCGTCAAGAATTGCAGCAGTGCAGATCGAAGAAAGAGCCGGGTGGAGAGAGGCGCCCTGGGTGTGGGCGAACTCGGAGGCTTGGCAGTTTGCGGGGCAGTGGACCCTTGCTGCTGCTGCTGCTGCTGCTGCTGCTGCAGGGTGTCTGAAGCAGCAAAGTGAATTCAACAACTCCCTCGCTGGGGCTTGCTTTTGAATACCCCTCGAAGACGTCTGCAGCCCGCGTGTGGCAGTCTATGTCTTGGGGAGTCAACTCCAAGCCAGTTGGGTGCCGCGGGACGTACACAGAAGAGGGATATGGCACTCCGACCCATTTCCCAACTTTGAAAGAAGCAGCTTTCCCTTCGGAGCGAACTGTGATGTGTTTGCAGAACCAGGGGGCTGCTGCAGAGTCGTTGCTGAGGACTATTGCCTGCAAGTCTCCGACTGTGCAAGAATTGAAAGTGAAAGAATATTCCTTGTGCAAGAATTGAAAGTGAAAGAATATTCCTAAGTGCAACTCCGCCTGCAGCGGGCCTCACCGTCTGCAGCCTGCAGCCTGATGGCTCTGTTGCTTCCAGGAGGAAAGTTTCCCTCCAACACTTTCGGGCCAGAGCTCCGCGAAGAGCCTATAAGGGAAATTCTGGCCCGCGGGTGAACTCCCCCTTCACAGAAAAAAAAAATAAAAAGAGAAAAGCGCTGCTGCAGCAGACAGTAAGAAGCTTGCCCTTGAGGTCCGTCCCAGTCAGAATCGAAAGTTCATAAATTTTGCTCCCCGATAGCGTGAAAGACTGCTTGCGTGATAATGCGCACTCGAGCTTTGCATGCAGGCCAAGTGCAAGCCTCACTGCTTCGGGAGATAAAGGAGACAAGGCCTCGCCGCAGTCGAAAATCCAGTAGCGAAAGTCTTTCCAGACAGTCAGTTGGCGGCAAGACCACGAAGTAGGGCTGGTGATGTAGGCGTGGACGACTTCAGGGTTGCTCACGTCAACGCGTTCTGCCGTGACTCTAAGCGAAGCAACTGCGCTGCACAAGCGGGCGAGTCACACGTGCAAAGAACTGCCTCACTGTTTGCTTGTGCCCCTAGTAACAGACGCAATTGAAATGGGTTTCGTGCGACGGCCATTGGACCCTTCCAAAATGATCTTGACGTCGCTTCTGGAGCGTCAAATCAGTGCACAACGCGACCTCCCATGCAAAATAAATTCGACATACTTCACCTCTAGCCCGAATGCAGCAAGAGGAGCCACTTGCACCACATAACGAGCCATTGCTTGGTCCACGGGAAGACAACGCCCATAGGCGGGAAGTCCGGCCTGCGGCGTCGCTTTACACCAGCTTTCATCGCCACACACCCCGACGAGATATATCCCAAACAAAATGATTTCGCGGAGCATATTTCCGAAAAGCATGCGATGCGGCAACATGTTGCATGAAATGCTCACGAAACGCGTTTCCACACCACTAAGCGCAGGCTCTCGAGTGTTGCGACACCGAATTTGCTTTTCTTTTGCAACAAAAAAGAAGCAGCGTCTTGCCACAGGATTGTTTATTGGTTTGAAATTTTCATTTCTGCCCGTCAAGGCCGTGTCCTCTTGTTGCGATCGTGGAAAGAGTCGTCAACCCCCACCTTTTGAACTATGCATTGTAAGTTTCACTTGTAACCGCCTACCCTGACACAGGAAGCTAAAATGATAACTACTGAGTTGCTGGTATCCACACAGCTACAGCACTGGGTAGAAGCGTAAAATGTCGCACCTGCTGCACTAGGCTGAAGCCTGCTGCATACTCAAACTGGGATATCCACTCTTATCGTTTCGACCTCTACGTCACCTCGCAATCAGCTCATATTCATGCCGAAGAAGTGTCGAATTACTAATAATTGCAAGTATAACCATCAGATCTTAAACCAAAGGCTGGAAAGTGCAGTTCGAAATTTCCCTTGCTGCCACAATCTGAGCCTGCGGGGAAGCCTCTCTCCCCAACTCGAGCCACCAGAGTGCACCTTAACTGCTAGTTTAGTTTACTCGTCCTCTGCAGTGTTGAGGCGCGCGGACTTGTTCAGAACAAGGACATTAAGTTGTTCTGCGCGTTCGACGATCTCGCGCCTCTTTCTGGAGGAAACGCCGGAAGCAATTTCCGCAGCGAACTTCGTGTTGTGCATCAACAGCATGTCGATGTCTTGGGGCCTCTCGACGCGGAACTTGTAAAAGCCGTTCCGCAGCATGTGCCGGGTCTTCCTGTTGGAGCCGTAGCCGATGTTGGGCATGAGGTTGGTGCCTTTGAACTTGCGGCGAACGCGGCAGTCAATACCCTTTGGCTTTCTCCATGAGGGCTGCGGGCAGCCGCGCGAAACGCAAACACTGCGAGCGCCAGAGTTCACTCTTGTGCATTTGCGCCCACACAGTGCAGGTCTGATCCTGCAGCTGAAGCTTCAAGCAGCAGCAGCAGCAGCAGCAGCAGCAGCAGCAGCAGCAGCAGCAACTTACACTCAGGCGCTTCCATCTGTCGGACTGGAAACGCGGGAAGCTCTTGGTCCGCTTCTTGACAATGCGGCGCTTGACTGACGAAACGGGAGCCATCTGCGAAGGCAGAGCAGCAGAGTGTTTGACTGCAATGTGCACAACTCGTTGAACTGTGTCTTCCCCAGCCACAAAACTATTAATTCTTGTCTTATTTGGAGTCACAAGAATGAAGTTGGCGCAGTTCATTCACAAACGCTCCACTTCCTCAGAAACCCCGTGCGGCGCAACACAGTGGCTCCTCGGCAGCCGCGAGTCCCGCTGCATGCAGTTCTTTTGCACTTCCACTGATCGAAAAAGAGTCTTTTAATACTCAGTGCATCAGCAAGCCAGTTTTCTTCTTCAACCCCCCTCCCCACAGAGGGCCCCTCGTGATCGTCGGGAACTGCATACCGTAGAAGCGGGAACGTGGCGTAGTTCCAAGCTCAACTATGCAGAGTTTGCCCGCGAAATCGATCTCTGATTAGCAGAGATGCCACGATGGGATAGTTCCAGCTATCAGTCCCATGTGGAAGGCTTCTCCAGTGTAGCATCCCATGACGGCCCCGCACCTGTTCTGCATCTGGGGACGGGCTGCATGCAGCTGTGAACTGCGGCGCCACCGCGGCAGTTTCAGCTGAAGAGTTAGCTGCATATTCGTATTTACGAATTAGGTGTTTTTGTAGCATGTTTAGCGCCATGTCGCTGTTGCGCCATGGCAGAAACATGCATGCATTTAGCCGTGAGTTTCCAGAGAAACCTAGGAAACACTGAGCTCAAAAGAAAACTCGCACTGTTTGGAGTGGAATGGACAATACCAAGAGATGGGACTGCTTGGGTGAAAGTAAAAGACTTCGATGTGGCGGATTACAATGGATGCTGCAGTGCATCATCGCGCCCGAGAGCATCAGTGCCAAGCGAACATAGTTTGGCCTCGGGAAAACCCTATTGAAATGATTGTTTTAGCATCCTTCGTGTAATAACACTGATAACACTCCTCAGGAACCGGCATTCTGGCTGCCTAGTCTGATAGCCGCTAAACAAATGCGAGGCGTGCTACCGTAGCCTAGGGTATTGCTGAGGGATTTATCGCTTTCCGAGACCTTCTACCCACTCCAAGTCTTATAAACTGAGCAGTCTAATTGACACGCTGTGCACTAATTTATTGCCTTCCAGGGAGCCTCCAACTCGCTATAGCATGTAATGGCCTCCAAGCTCCGTCTCCGGCTCTTGAACTCTTGCGGCTTCTGCTTCATAGTCCATGTTACTGTTACGCTTCGTGGGCCTCTACGGGCCCTGATTTACCAAGAAGCTTGTACTTTTGTGCACATGTGGTTGCAAACCGTGGCTGACACCACTGTGGAAAGGATCCACTCGCAGTGTTTCTCATGTGCACCAGAGCCAACGCGCGGCCAATCTACCTATAGCATATCCTGTTTGGCCGAAGCCTAGTTCTGGCCGTGTTACACGGAGCTCCAGCTGTGGTGCTGCCGAAAATGCACATAGACAACACAGGAGTATAGCTGAAGCTGCGCTTCTGGTGCGGATGTGCAAATGGGAAGCATGAATGTTTGCTGCAAAGAGATCGGCGGGCTCTTCACCAGGAATTAGTCTAGAAAGATTGAGGGAGCAGTGCTGTAAGAAATGCGGAAAAACTGCGAATGCTGCGTGCCATCCGCCTTTTCTTGTAAAAGTCTGGAACGCGTTTCGCGACACTTGCTTCTTTGACACGAGTTGCTTTTGCCCGGCAATCTGCTGCTGGCGTCAACAGGAGCAAAATTAAAGAAATTTATTTGGTTTAAAGACAGGGCTTCATGTCACCCCGCTTGCGCTTGCAGGGTAGCAGATTGCACTCTTTTTTTGACGGATACTGCCAGAGCTTTCCAAATGCGCCTAATGACTCTGCAGAGGGTACGAAGATGTCATGCTGCTGAAGCCCACATGCTGGTACTTTAGCTTTCGGGACCGAAACGGGAACTCACCAACAGCAACTGCTTTTCACACTGAGTGCCTAGAGGCATCTGCTGTACACAGTTCAAACTGGGCACTTCAGCGCGTCCGTCATGCAATCATAGAAGGCATGCATACATGCACGATTTCTTCCTCCGGTACTGGTTCTCTCGTAAAGGCCAGTAACGTCTGAACACCACTTTCCCGTTTCATACTAACTCATTTGCCAATTGGCTGTCATACTCGCTGCCCTCCAACACGGCGCCTTGCGGATCCATCAAATCGCATACACTTTTGTCAAGTGCTCACACAGCCTGTGTTTGCTTTGCAAATTTAGATGAAGAAGTCTGGATTGAAAGGATATTGGAGAGCTTGTCTGTACATTTCTCCAGCCTCATTTGCTAGTAAAGAGCTTGCTTTTCTCACTCCAGGAGACAGCTGAAGTATTCTGACGCATGCGTGGCACCATGCAAACGCCACGCTTTCTCCAATTTATATAAAGAACTACAGGAGGCGTTTTTATATACGGTGCTGCAGCTGCAGATGTAGTGCTAAACTATTGAAGATAGAAACCCATTGATATTTCACATACTTGCTTTTTTCCTGCATAGCGTGCGCCATAGGAAGCGCGAATGCCTTCATTTCTTACCCTACATGAACACTCTTGATGCTCTGAGGCTCGTTGATTCTGGTGCGCGAAGCAACAACTAGGCGTCGGCTTTACGGGGAACGTGGTGGAGCTGCCTGTGTGCTCCCACAAAGCCTCCCCAAAAGCTTTTGTCAGAGCATTTTACCAATTATATGTCCACTGCAATTCAGCACAGTATTAAGTACTTCAATGAATATGTGATCATCCTGTGGGTTTTCCCCAACACGTGCACTTATGCTATTTTACGTTAACATGCTTTCTAAACATAGCCACACTACGCACTCCGTTGAATCATTGACCTGCTAAGGTTAAAGGGAGGGCAGTCATGCCTTTGGGAGTCGCTTTGGCGTCGGCAAATCATCTGTCATGGTCGATTAATCGAATAAGAGTCCGTTGCACACGCATACATAGTGGCAGTATTAGCAACAAAAAAGTTAATAAAGGCACTGCGAAGTAAAGTCCTAAGCTGGCGGATTATCATTCATCGTACGTAGTGGTAAAACATTTTTTCTCAGTTGCACTTTTGCACACGCTCTGCTGGCTGATGCCGACCGCCGGTCAGCATAAGGGAACTCATTAACAACCTGGCATTTTGTCAGTTCTTGAAAATGTACAACTGCCTGTACTTTTCTTCTCCCTCCCTCCCTACGAAATCAGCCCATCTGCTACAACTGCCCGAAACAGTGAAGCAGTTGAAACTGCCACAGCGTGCTGGGGTTCATATACGCATGTTGTGGTTCCCCCTCTTCGTTTTCACCGGAACCAAGCGCACCTGCAGTGCTGCCGAATCTTCACACTAGCTTGTAGCCAGCCCTTTGCATAGAAGAGCGACATTTTTAGTTGACTGGGGACTGAACCCTCCGGCGATTCTTTGACGGGAGAGCCAACTGTGCCAGTTCATTCTGCAGGCGTCATAGGGATACATTTGAACTATGATGAAGTGTGGCTAGATTTCTTTTCATGTTTCAGCAGCAAAATGCACAGACGAGACGTAAGAACAGCAAAAGCGGGCAAGCAACGTGGCCTGTCCTCCCTTCTTACGGAGTGCATTTTACTTCAAGCTATAAATGTATGTGCATCAGGTTTTTCAATTGAGAATAAGAAGCAGGAATGATTCAACTGCCTTCAAGTGGGCTACCGCAGCAGCGCTGCAAAACGTAGGTCTTCCACAGTAGTGAGGTGGGCCTCTTCGATTCATGCTGATCTGCTCCTGAAGCCTGGCTATAATTCGAGAGGAATTTAGTTATTATATTAATTTTCCCAAAATTATGAGAAATCAACTAAGTGAGAATGCAAGTTTTTTGCATTTTGTGGTGCATTTATGGAGGAATTCAGATAGCATATGAGAGACTGCGATACTGAGCACCAGACTTGTCAGGCGAAGAAACCCAGCCAGAATTGTCAAGGCTCTGTGGGATACCACACTAAATAGAAATAAAAATCAAAAGTGAAACAGAAATTTAAACCAAGCTAGAACCCTGGGTTAAAATTTTGAAACAACAGGGTTACCATAATTAGGACCCTCCAAATCTTATTCGCTGTCCAGTGCTCTTAGGGGTGCAGTGAGGCCGCAGTTAGACTAGCATACCTTCTCGGCCTTTTGGCTATGATCAAGTGTAGTATCTGTTCTTATCAGTGTGACAACTGATATGGATCCAACTGGATCCAACAATGTCACATCAATTTTTGCTTGGAGGGGATAGGATTCTGAGCTTGCTCAGGCCTTCCCCGAGCGTTGTCCCACTCTTACACTTTCAGTGGGTACGGCGCATCCACCAGACCCTTCGGGGTTAACAATGGAAGGAATAACTCCAATTTTCCTCCGGTTTCCTCTTAGCAGCGTTGTGTTCGCCCCGCTGCTGTTTCAACACGGGGTCGGTCCGTTCTTCCGTTTCCCGTTTATCCATCTGTGGCCGAGTAGGATTCTAGTGGCTTCTTAGAACAGCTACACAATGCAGGCACACGGTTCCCAGTGTTCCGAAGTGTTCCGGCAGCGTTTTTTCGACGAAGTTGCTTTCTAGTGGGTCCGTGCTACACCTGCAGCATGGTGGGAGACGCCTGCAGAATTCGATTTCCCGGGCTAGAGAGCTGTTATAGCTAGCTTTGCTACGAAGTAAAGACAGGGCAGCAAGCGCTTTGAGTCCTATCAGCTGGGGAAGTCATGTGTGGTGCGCTTCTATAGAAAATTGGTTCGGAAGTTAAATGCGTTGCCAGCACGGTAATAGCCTGGTGCGGCGGAAAGGGATTGTAATTTGCTAGTCAGCCTTCTTTGGCTGCTCTGAAGGAGTCTGGGCAGTTCCTAACTTTGGAACAGAAAAGCAACGGGTGTTTAGACCGTCGCACACGTCGGAGACAACCGTGTACACGAAGTCGGCCAAATAGATGCAGTTAAAGATACACACAGCCTGCACACAAGCGCAGAAAGTTAACTGCACATAAGCGATGAAGTGTCGTGCATGGTTTCGGCGCTCTGTAGCACTTCAGCGCAGTTTGTATGCAAGGCCTGTGAGACTCACCAGTATTGCCCACAATTCCTGATCCGCTGTTAAATCACCCAAGAGGAGAGCAGCAGCTACCGCCGCTAGAGGCAGCATTGGCCACTGTACGAGTTTGTACGGGAATCGACAGGTTGCCGACAGGCAAAGGCGTAACAGCAAGATGGCGTAAGTCGAGCAAATTGCAGTGTATATTAGGTACGGATTCAAAACTGGCCTCCACACCAAGCCTGCAATAAAGGCACTTAAAAGCAATCGTACGCCCTTTGCGTTTCGCTTGATGGCAAAAACTATAACGACTAACCCATTGCTAATGTCAAGACCCTTTCAGCGAGTCTTCATAACTTACCGTGCATGTAAACGAGTCCCTGGAAGAAAATGTACACCAGGAACATCACTACTTGTGTGAACGCGACGCAAAATCGTGGGGCCCGCTTAAGTCCCATAACAATATTTAAAATGCAGATGCTAATGTTGCTGCGTCGCGCACAATTTCCACAAAGACTCAATGAGGGTGAATAGCTGCTTTGCGAACATTCTGGGTTGGCATACTGCAGAGGGTCGGTTCACGCTACAGACTCACCAAGCTAACAACAACAGCTGAAACAAGACACTGGGTGTAACATCAACGCCAGCAGCTGCAGCGAGCTTTGCAAGCGGCGCCCTGAATGCATGCAAACGTCGGCAGGATGGAATCATGTAAGAAGGCAACCGAAAGCCTACGTATATTACACGGAACAAACAATAACCGAAACTTACCCGACCGATAACGGCAGGTACTGTAGAAGGTTAACATGGTACACCTCCGGGCCAAAGGTTCCGCCAATTATGGAAAGCAAAATGATCTACCAAGCGCCACAAAATCAAACACCAAACATCGTTTCCCCCCATGTAGTCGGTCTGATGGCTTATTTATTTGCTTCAGGGTCAAAGCTGTGCTTCGCTATGCCTTTTGTAAGCGCAAGCATATCTCCGAAACTCGCAGGCCACCTTACCGTAAGCTGTGCTTCCGTCACTCCAATAATTCCAGTGGCGGTGTAAAACACGCCAAAATGAAGCTCCCACCACTGAAGGACCAGCAAAGCGAAACGCATGCATTTTGCAAATCTCACTCCAAATAATACACGGTACCACAGTGCATGCACTGCTCCGCTGGAGAACTGGCTGTGTTGAGCCACTGAAAAGGCTGCGGAAGTATGTTGCTGCTTACAGTGTAGAGGAATTGAATAAGCTGCGACGAGACAACCAGAACTGCGTACTGCCTGAGCCCCACTCCCCCACCTATGATGGCTGTACCCAGGAGAGTGAGCGGAGTAGTGCATATGATGTCACAGCCGTGGTCCATTAGCTGTCCCAAAGGTGACGACAGGCGATGGCGCCTCGCATGCTTTCCGTCAATTGCATCTAATGTCTGGTACAGAAAGAAGAGCGCCGCCGACACAAGAAATACCCAGCGGGGTGGGTGCTCGGCCAGGTAGGGGCAGAAGCACAGTAGAAGAGAGCAGCCAATTATGGCTGTTATGCAGCTCGATACAGTGAGCGCGTTAGGATGAATAGTGCGAGGAACAACTCTTTCTGCCGCTTCCCACCAAGGGTTCATTAGCCGATCGAATGGAGTTCGGTGACCAGAAACGTATGCGTATTTATGGAGGTTGCCAATGCCCTCTGGCGGTAAGTAGTGCCCGAAGACCCCCCGCATGGTGTAGCGGCAATACGTGATGCCGAAGGAGTAAAAGACGATCTACCGACTTTCGGGCCAGTGTAAGTGCCTCACACACTGAAGAATACCGCCGAGACGAGGGGTGACTTCCTGCAGCCTCGGGGGGGTTGACCCCCTTTGAGTCAAAAATGGACCAACCACAATCGATTCTCACCCTTAGGCGACGTGGTTTACTAATTCGATCGGCTGTAATTGCGTGGCTGGATAAATTAATGCTGTTCTTCTCCGTGTACGGCGCGTGCATGAATCCCCAGCACACGAGCACATGAGTCACTCAGCTGGCCCACGGGGGGCCAAGCATTCCCCCTGTCGTATTTATTTCCCTTTTATTATGAAAGAACCTTCCGTGGAAGCAACGATGCAACGACGGCTCTAAAGTTCCGACTTGTAGACTACGGAGTCCTCTAGAGCGCAGAGCAGCAGCCCCTGGAAGCGTCTGCTTGCAATGTTTATTGCTCACAGAAGAGGCAAGCCCAGGTATAGCTTCGGAATAAAACAAAAACAGCATTCCAAATATAAGGGAAGCATAAGATGATTTCCCCGCTGCCGACAGCAGTACAGAGAGAGCCGCTCTGCATCAAGCCCCCGTAGCACTTTCTGTGTTGTCTGCAAGTTACTCCGCCCCAGAGGCTTCCTTATACATTTTATGAGGGATAAACTTTGCCTAGTTGATGCTCTTGTTTCTAATAACGCGCACGTTTCACCTCCGAGAAACACATCGCATTGCCGCCGATTGCGCTTTGTTTGCGGGCCAGCTCCTTGCCTTAGTGATGAGCAGCGAACTTCATCACTGCCATAGGGAAGATTAACTCGCAGTGATGACTCTTCTACGTTTCCACCTGGTATTACAGAAGGAGGCTTTCGTTGCCTGGGGCCGAAATGCAGGTCCCACTGGAGTCGCTCGAAACTGTGCAGTGCACATGCTGAACATGCCCTGTGAAAAATCACAGTTTCGGACATCGTGCGTCCACGAGTACTCTACGAACCGAAGGGACTCACAGCTGTCACGTCTCTTAGTCAGCCCGTGCTCCAATGCTGCCAACGACGGCCTTACGAACCGCGGCCCACTGCTTACGCGTTCTCCACGTGCCCATGATTTCGACGGAGATCCGCGCAGTGGCCAATGCAAACTCAACTGCAAGACCATCCTAGCAGAAGGGCGGCTGGGGAGCACGGCAATGGGTAGCTCACGAGAAAACCTGGCACCGGCGTCCAGCTCAGAAGCTGTGCAAGAGGCATGTAGTGCAAGTGTTACGATGAGTACTACATCACCGGCGTATCGGCAACCCATTTTATCCCGCAGTCCCACTAATCTTATGTGGCATCGTGGGGTTCTTGAGCTACTTTGCAGCAGTTGCCGCTATGTTGTTCGGCGCTGGCATGTTCCTATTCTTGGGGTGGACTGCAACGCCAACCCCCGTCATAAACAGGCACTCACCTCCCCACCACCACGTAGCAGGGGGATACCCAAGTACCTGATCCCTTATCTTGTTGGAAAACAGGCACCGCGGCACCCGAGGTGGCGCCAGGACCATATGATCCGTGCCCGAGCAACCCATTTCTACAGGGCCGGAGTGCGCAGAAACGGATAAACTTGATTTTTCTTAAGTTAAAAACAGCTTATGAGCTGCTCAAGCAAGCGGCATAGTACTTTACCTAGGAAATTAGCCGCGCTTCGTGCTTCGTTTAGACGTGCTAGGCCGTGTGTGGAACGAAGGCTTGGCTACTCCACACAGAGTACAGGTGGAATGAAATTTGAGGCTTCAACTGAAGTTGTTGGCGCAGAGGCGCTTGGATATGGCGGTGCATTTTGCTGGGAGTTTCACTGTGGGTACTCGATGCCAGACGCGTTGGCGGCAAGCTGAGGTGAGCAGCAAGGAGTAGGCTGGCTAGACTTAGGCTGGCTAGACTTAGTGGGAAGTGCGCAAAATGAAGTTCCAATACCAGATGGGATGCTGCCGCTCACGAGCTTGTTTGCAGTTGCGTTATTCTGTCCTTGATACGCATTATTCTGGGGATAGGCCTCCCTGCACCTCCATCTTACGTTATCTCTTATTGACTGGCGCGAGTTTCTTGCATCTACTAAGCTTTGAACTGCGCAATCAGTCCGGCGGCCACGGAAACGAGTGATTAGTCGATTCGCCATCCCCCATGATGCTACAGCGGCGTAATCTTCACGGCGTTTATGAATGACCATCCCGATTTAGCGCTGCCATGATTTTGTTAGATTGTCACGTCCACAAGAGCGTCGAGGCAAGCTTTTCCCGTTACTGCAACGAGGTCGTTCAGTTGAGAAGGCTGCAGCACGAGTCATACACAGCTTACTCTTGATTGGGTTACTTCACATCCGCACACTCGTCTGTAGGTGATATCCGCAAATGCGCAAACAGCAGTCAGCAAAGGGTTAGGAATTTGCCACAGAGAGGGAAAAGACACCACTTGTTTCTCGTTTTGTTCAAGTCCTACAGTAATGGGATGCATAAAGTGATCATTGGTACGACTTGTGACTCCAATATGAACTGCGGCCGCCTTCATAAGTTCTACCCTCCGTGACGCCAAGTGCAGCAGCTGATGGGTTTCCATTTCCATTGTTTGGGCTCCACAGCGCACTAGTGTCTCCAACAAGCTTTCGTTTTCATCCTGAACAGATGCCGCAACCCTCCCGAAGTGCAAAATGTTCGAGAGTGCACCATCCCTTGTTCGTTAGGTCTTCGGGTGAACACAGGAAGCCATTAAGCCCATACTGTGCCATAAAGTGTGCTGGTAACCATCTGCATTAGAAGCTGTTCGTGCTTGAGCACAGTGTCTTGCGCAGCCCACCCTAAATAACTGATCTTCTCGAGCTTGGCAGCTGTAGAATGTCTCTGCCGAAACGTTAAGTCCTGCAAAGCAAGAAGTCCTCGATATGCAATAAGAAAAGACGGAAAGCGTAACCGTCTTTCTTCAGTCCCCAGTCCACGTAAACCGCAGTCAAGATGACGTATATCAGATGGAATGGCCATGCAGGTAGAATCTGCACGGTGATGAGTCCCACACACGGACTGAAGAATATCACTAATTCTGTGCTGCTATAGCTGACCTTCAAAGACTGAGTCAGGATCATGCGATGCAATATGCCGGTATATTAGCCTGCACAATTGGCACAAACGAAAAGAAAAGCATAGCAACCTACGTGGCTTGATCAAGTGTCAATGAAATCTTGCTTGCACGGGGAAAAGAAAAGCCGCACCTTGATAGCTCGGGGTCAGCCGCGCATGGCCTTGTGACGACGTAGGGTTTCATCTCTAGCAGCAACGCACCCACCAAAAGACAGAATATAACATTTAAAAGCTGGAGTCGCTCTTTCTCTATTAGTCGCCGTCGGCTCTGTGTGCTGAATTTGTGCTCCCCATATATATAGCAAGCATAGCGGGTGAACCTCCGTAATAAAATGAAAGGCCCTTTGGCCTATGGGCTTGGGCTTAAAAGAGTAAAGGCATCCAGAACTTTGAACATCATTAATCAAGTTCCAGAGTTGATCTACCTTGGGTTCGCGAGTAGTCTGTGGCTGTTCCATCAAAATATGCGTAGTTTGTGTAGCAGCCTAGCGAGCCAGGGGTTGCGACAACAATTGATCCTGGCCTCAGGTCTTGATCTAACAAGGTGCATGTTCCTGAGAGCATTAGTTTCGCAGTGTGTTATGCTCTTTTCCAAGCCGAACTTAAAAGAGAACCTATAGAGCATGCTTGTCTAGAGATGCATCTTTCTAAAAGGGCTGCAAAAAAACGTGAATCGAACAGTAAGATAAATCTCTGTTGGCCCAAGGAGCAAAGAAATTTAGTTTTAGAAACGGCGGCTGGCCTCTTTACAGCTAGGAAGTTTACAGCTCATGTGACTTAGAATGCAATGTGGATATACAGGCCTGCTCGAATTATTCATTTTGTTATTTTCAAATGATACCGAGTCTGACGATTGCTAGCGGGCCGTCCGTGATGTATGAAGCCTCGCGAACCAGCACATCCATCATAGGAGCTCCCATGCCAATGGAAACAATGGACACCGGCTTCTTCTTGTAGAATCCTAAGGATCAGCACCGCCACACCGCTTTCTCTTATTCTTCATGGTTTCACAACGCAAGTATACCACGTCAATCTTTTCCCATTCGAACTGAGGCTGTGCGTGTAAACTGCCATTTTGCAGGCGCAAGCTTATTGATCTACGCGCTTAATTGTATCTAGAGTACTCTCTCAGCTGGGGGCTATGCCGATGTTTCCCATTTCGTATTCCCGGTCTCTCTGGAGAAGCAACTTTCTTACCAGAGTGGAGTCTGAAATTACGATTGCTTTTTAGGGACAGCGTTCTCATTTGCGCGTCGAGAAAACGTTCCGCCAGCCAGTCTGCTCTCCCTGCATGACCAACTGTCAGGATGCGGTTATACAGCTCCCCATGCTGGACACCAAGATGGTATGCTCGACCTTCTCCAGGAACTAGCAGTGAATCTCTTGTGCGTGTAGCACTGAACAAGTAGCTCGAAGGCGCCAAGCGCCCTCTTACACTAGGTATGGTTGAACCGCCCGGCTTTTCACTTCCATTCCTGTATGTGAGGCTTCCCCTTGTGGATGCTTCTGCATTCGGCTGCTCTTGGCGGCGGTTCGAGGAATCTCGGTGAGACCTGGATTTATCGGAAGGTAAAAATCTCTGCTTTGCGGATATTGATGCAGTTTCGCCGCTGCGAGTGAGGCGAATTGATTCATTGGCATCTGTCAGCGTCTCTCCCGAGATCTGCCCTGATGATCTCATGGGGGTTGACACCCTCAAACGAGCGGAACGGAGCATTTGGCTGCTGCCTGAATTAGCGGGTTTTTGGGCCGAGGAAGCGTTGGACGCCTCCCTCGGCTGTGGCGATGCTCTGCTGCATGTGCTTAGCACTGGGGCCCCTGCATCCCTGCCATGCGTGTCATATCGCCTGCATCTGTCCGCAATATGTGCTTCTGCGCCGGCACTGCACTCGGATTGCTGTGCAGTACATGAAGCCCTGCTGCTCCTGCTGTGGGAGGACGTGTCGAAGGTAGCACCATCCAGTACCCGATGCATGGAGGGTTGGCCGCTCCTGTCCTCAGACGTGCGGATTCCAGACTGCCCCCCCATGAACGCATTTCGGCGCTCATGGGCTCTAGCTTGCCTGGGAAATTCAGCGCTAGAAGGTCGCACTTGGTTGCTGCCCACGGGTAGAGGCGTCAACTCTTTCTGAAGGAAGGTAGCGACTGTGTTGGAACGTGGCTTGGCTGGAGTTTTGGGGGCCGTCTTTTCGTCTGCTTGGCTACCGAATCCTTTGCTCTGGGAAGTATTGCTGCGGCCCGTCAGAGGGGTGTAGTCTGTTCCGATGCTCCGCTTCATCCCGGACTCTGCACCAGACCATGGAACCACAGGAGCTCCCTCACTAATGAGCCTCTGTCTGAACAGATAGCCAAAGTTGTTCTTCTTTACTTAATAAAATAATAGCTTAAATGCATGTTCCTTCCTGGCTGCTGTTGCTTAGAGGGGTTTTGTCAGACTTGCCATTCTAAATAATAGTGATAGCCTAGCCCGGTACCGTGAGTTCCTGCACCACTACACAAGCCCAGTATGGAATCCCATGCAATTGTACGCACCACCTAAACTTCCTCATTCACTGTAAAAGTATACACAAAGGTAAAATTAATTCTAAATGGAAGCTACAGCTCCCAAGCATGACCGAACTTTCTCTTAAGACGCGTAACTCGTAGCCTTTAAAGCCCCAGTCACTGGTACTGGTGCCTTGTTGACACCAGGCTTGAAACAATAGCACAGAACCTGGGAAGTTGAGCTAAATTGTACTCTAGCACAGTCTTATGTTGTGCTCAGTAACTGCTCGCCCTAAGTTTCAGACACATTCTATTGCCGCGCTGAACGGTTTCCCCTGGCTCTCGAACAGCAAAACACGTGCACTCCACCGACCACCATGCCGACAAAACACGTACACTCTAGCTTCTTTGGTGGTCGGCGAATTCCTGTTATGCTATGGTCCTCTGATTCTATCTTGCACTATGGCCTATGCTGCCTTGGCCTTTTTCGTGCTCCCTTTCGCAGTCTCCTGTGCTGCTGTGTTCTCCCCTACTGCTTGCGTAGCTTTCTGCTACAGCTATTTTCACGGGGTTGCTTTTAATTGCAAGTACGTAGTTGCTATTTCAAATGCGAAATGTATATTTCGCATCATATATGAGCGATGTCCCTGTCCATGTAGGACAAGGGAAGGGACTCCCACCGGTTAATACGTTGAAGGCTACACACGGCTGTAGATACCCCTATACCTCATGAAAATTTGGTAGAAATTAGAATAAGCCTGCTCAAAATTTTAGTCAGCTAGTGCTTAGGCATGCGACTTCAGGGTACGGGGAGCAGCAACGGTGATTTCCTTCGTCGGGCATTGTGTAGGAAGCGCACCAAGAAGGTAGGTGAAGCGTGAACGCTAACTTGGGTGGTCTCTCAGATAGCTTGCATGAAGCATTCGCATTACCTAGACGGTTTTAATCATTTGGGCATGGGTGGCAACGCACTGCGTGTCCCTAGCTCCCTTGGTGACGAAACGGAACGCGTATCACACGCTCGCCTCGGCACTCACGCGTGATAGTTTGCAGAGCGCAAATAAGCCCACATAACGCTGGCTTCAAAAGGGTAAAGTCTACAGGTACCTAAGGAAGTTGAGGCATCCTGATATTGTAAAAAACACAGCCAGCATCTCAGACCAGAGGGCCTCTGACCGTGGCGGCTGTGTCGCCCCATAGCAGCCCTTTACCGTGGCCTCAAGCCAATCCGTTCATATCAATTCAGCGGGTGTTAGGCTTGTTTCTGCATCATTCGTGTCGCGGATAGGGAGATCAGAAGGTGGTTGCGTAACTGCACTTGTCACCAAGCCAGTCCTTCCATCCGGCACTAACTCTCACAACAAGCCTTGACCATAACAGCGTACATCCTTAACGCCTTGGCAAGGCTTGACTGCCTGTGGAACGACACAATAGAGGCAATTTGTTCCAAGATGGGAGGCCGAGCAGAGCGCTGGCATCGAGATGCGATGCTTTCTCCTGAAATATTTGTTAATGCGCACTGGGCTACGAAATGCCCTCGTTCGTCGTTCCAAGAGACCTTGTTTCAGCAAGCCATCACACCTGCTCAAGGAGGCTTCATGCACTCGCTACACATATCTTTGGGGAGAATGTTCAAAGACTCGAGACGCCTCGCGCACGGCTATGGCGACGAGATTTTCGTCGCACGTGAAGCAGCGGAAGCGCTCTCTCTCTCCTCGCTATCACACCTGCTTCAAGTTTTGGTTTCACTCCTGAGGTTTTGAGGCACTTGATTCAACAAATCTCGGCACATGCAGGAACCAACCATATGAAAGGTCTCATCTCATGACTGGCGTTTGTCTCGGCAAATTGGAAGCGAGGGCATTTGCCGCCATATTGCAACTGAGAGCGCTGTGCTGGCATTAAATACCCTAGTCCTGGAGTTCGGGAGATGAGGAGCTGCAATGTAGCGTTTAGATAAAGAGGGTCATATTTTGTGCTTGAGCTCAGGCGGAGGCCTGGCTGGACAGCAGACAAACTGTCAGTGTGTTCAGGTTTCAGTGATTATACTCCCGGATAAGCACTGCGCTGTATACTAGGCATAAAGATGGCGGAAGCACGTGATGAGCGGCGACCTGCGCCAAGCTCGGGCTGGCAGTGCGGGAGACAAGACAGTCACATCTGCTCAATTCAGCCAGAGCGTACACCTACTAAGAAAGTACTTTGCACGACAACGACAACATACTTGTTAGGAAAACTCCGGACTCCATTGGCTAGAAGGGGAAAAGGGGAGTTTTACAGGGGCCACGGAACAACTGGTTTGCGCAGACGTGTACTTGCCATTCCCAGGGATCACCTTCCTACCCAAGAACTGAGTCCGAAGATTGTAGCTGACTTTCCAAGAATGCTTCTAATAAAAAGGTGTAGTTTGCGTATTCTTCTGCAGAAGGTTGCTCTCTTTGTGTCTCACAGCTTTCGTTACATGTTGCTCTGGTGGAAATGCTACATTTTTCCATTCTGCTTCCACTGAACGAAATCAACGGCATGGAGGCTAACCAAAACGCTACGGACAACAAATATTTGCACAACAATCACCAAAGAGCACACTCTTATCAGCATTAAGGCCGCAATCTACTTAAAGCTTAATTGACATAGTCTAGCTCAGCCCCATAATTTAGTTGCTCACATAGTCATTGCCACCGCGAAACTGAACAAGAAATTTTCTCCGTTCTAGGTTCAAAGATGGAACGCATAGGCAGCAATGAAGTTCTTACTGCAGGGTATGGTATATCGATGCTTTCTGGCGGCTGCTGACGTCTATGTCAGGTGGATATACTGGTGTTTTACAAGCCCTGACCAAGAACGCGGACGAGAGTTCCTTGTATGTTCACTTGCCCTCCTACGCAAATTTGACGAGTTCATAGCACAACGTTCTGAAGTCTAGACAGATGAAATGCTACCAAAATCATGGCACTGCACTGAGCACTGACGCTCATAGCGGATGAACGTGCATGCAGATATGCACGTTCCATATTTTTTATGTGGCAGTGTCAATCCCCAAGAGCCCCAAAGCTAACTACCAGCTTATCGAAGGTACTACAGATGCGAACCCATAAAAGAGGCAAAAAAGTGCAGAGTAAGCAGTATTTGCAATGCGCTGAACTAATTTATTCCCTTTTCTCTTTGCTGATAGCTACAGGGCCAACAGGCCCTAACAAAGTTGTATTGGTATCAGAAATTGTAGGTTCGGCTGAAGCTTTAAACATAGCTGGTTTTGTGCTGCGTATTTCGAAAAGGTTTTTATTTTCTTCCGCATTCAGAATTGGGCAGAATTCGGATGGGTTCAACAGAATGCAGTAACTGGGCCTACTGTCTACATTATTATTACCGCCTTCAACGGACAGTCAACATCTATACTGCACGTAAGGCAGATTTGAGCTCCTGCTTCTGCTGCAGCACTAATACGAGGCTTTTCAAGGAAGCTCCACTTGAATAACGGACTTCCTTGTGGCAAGGAAAAACCTCTAGATTGGTGTTGCACTGCCTCTGCTCTGCAGCAGCCAGAAGCAAGCATTCACAGAAGCCGGATGAATTCAGCGCTGTAAGCTTTTTATAAGATACACAAAGGGCATGCAACCCAGTTCACTAACTAATAAGTCATCGCCCGCCTCAAGCTGACAATCAGCCTTTACGAGGATTCACAAATAGGAGCGGCCGATAATCCGTAATATTCGGATATCGCTGTTAGTGTATCAAACAAAAGACAGGTGGAGAGTATCTCCTGTGCTACAGTGTTGACTATGTGCAGTCCTTGTTCCAAGAGTTAAAGCAGTTCAGGAGAAGCGGCTTGTTCTGAACATGGAGCCTAATATTTTTGCGTATCGTATTGCCCTCATTGATGTCACTCACAAAATCCAAAAACTGACTAATTGTGCACTTAGTGTCGGCAGTCTGGAGAAGGCATATCCTTTGAAAAAGGTGTTGCCCTGGTGGCCGATGAAGATACTGCTTGGGCGGAGGCTTACTGGTAAGTGATGCTCGTAGAATTTCTTCTATTTGAGCCTCCCGAGATTCACTGAAAATGACCACGCAGATCAGAGTGAACATGCGCCCCAAGAATGAGGACGCAATGCCATCAATGTGGAGACTCAAAATTTCCGGCCACCTGCCACATGGCAGAAGTTCTATAGTAGCGCTGTCTTGCCCTGTGAAGTTTCTTCAGATGGCTTTCTTCAAAGCCCAAACTGCGCTTTAAAGGGGCTAGAGGCTCAAGAGCACGCAACTTTCGTATATCTATGCCCACCAGTAAGAACCCAGTAATCCACGCTGGCGGCCAGTGGCTTTCCTATAGCATTTGAAGCGGTAGCGATATGTGCAGGGACTAAGCGTGTGCTATTTGTGTCTGGCTAGAAACAGTAATGCTTTGGAGAATATGTGGCTACACTGGCGAGGGTCACTGCATTCAGGAGCAATAGTGCGTTTCGCCGCGGGAACATTTCAAAGCACTGTCACGTTCACACGCTCACGCGAGCACGAATATGTGTGCATAGTGCAAACTGGAATAGGGAATTTACGTTGGAGAATCTGTGACAGAATTCCTTAGCGTACCAAAATTAGCGGACTACAGCTGCAAGTAATCCAAAGCGGAACGGGCTTGGTTTAAAGACAAACCATTGACTTCTACGTCGCACTTCTTGAATCAAACCTACTGAACATCAAGAGTTGTATCTTGAAACTGCAATAGCCTCTTGATTCTTATGGACTCCAGGAAGCGCATCCATGCACAATAAAGCCTCCCCCTAAGCGTGATGCGCG